TGTGTATCACTATCATATTCCTACAGACACATATAGCATAGTATTTTCATTCTCAATACCTGATATTACTTAAGTACTAATACATGTATTACTATAATATCCTGTCCAATTATATTTCCATGAATCATATGGTTTCTATCCACCTTAAAATCCTTAGGTCATTTGTATTCATGAATTACATTCCAATACCATTAATACCACCTAGTGATGATTGTATCAGTACTTTACAATCATAGTATTTAATTTGTATATTCAGTAGGCTCTCACTACCTGAAATATATCAACACTACTTATAAGACTCATTCAAAGGATGTGTTATCAACCATGAAGTTCTATAATAATTCTTCAAATAATGTTCATGGTGTTGACAATACTTATTGTTCTAGAAATTCTCCACCCAGAAATCTTTCTATCATAGATTTGTTTTTGTTTACATAATTATAATTTTCACTAAAATTCCACCTTGTAGTAACAAACTTTTCATTCAACAGAAACATAGTTTACTTTAAAAGAACTTGGAAAGAATAATTTTAATTAATTATCATCACTCTCTTCATTAGCATTGTGATGACTTATTAATGTAATACATCTTAAAAGCAGGATTGTCCTAATGTTCTGACCAATCCGTATTCCTTAGTATACTTCAACTGACTAAAATAAAATAAAATAAACTTGGGGTCATACTGCCCAGAAACTCTTATTCCTAGTCTGTGTCTAACAAACTCAGGGAAATCATAAAACAACTTAACAACGTATTCATTGGATACCGTCATATCCAGAAACCTATTCTCCCTAGTCCATACCTTTATAGACTTACGTCAAATATAATTGTGTACTATTCTCTTTCCATTCAATTCAATTCCTCTTGGATCTCTGAACTCTTATATCCAAGGCTTTCTTAATGTATATAATTACTTAATATTAATCAATATAAATTATTCTTCCTTAGTTTGCTTCCTTTTATTACCATTGTTTGTTTTACTTCACCTCGATTATAAACAAATTATTCCTTATAGTTAATCTGTGAAATACTATTGAACTCAATCTTTGTGATATTAAGTAACCATGATCCTTATTTTATCAACTTCATATTTTATCTACCTCTGATACTTCTCATTTTATGTATAGGTAATAATGTAATAGTTATTTTCATAATACTATCCTTTCGTAATTTTACTCCATGTGTTATATAGTTATAAGTAGTCTCTTTTCGTATTAATACTCATAACTGTTAAATAACTTTTCATTGTCTGTTTTCTTCTTCATTAATATTTAGGAATATATATGTATGTTAGTGTCAATCTTTTATTTCTTTGTAAGTCTGTTAATCTTCTGTATCAAATGAACTCTGTAGAATCTTCCATCACAGTTTGCAGATCAGATGAAAAGTCTCTTTCCAACAGTCGATGTCCAGTTGTCTGAAGGAATACTTTCCTGATTTATTGCCACATGGATCTGTCACGCTTTACCTACATTAAAACAAATAACATGTGCAGCATCAATACAATGGCTTACAATGTTTATATCTCATTATTATTACGCAGTTTAACATTGAATCATATTGACTACACAAAACATACTCTTTTCTTCTCATGAGATCTACCATCTAGTGGTCATTACATTTATGCCATGTGATGTATAATATTTAAATTTCCTTATATTAAAATCTTTCTGAACATGTAAATTCTCAATTCTCAAACTTTTTATTACTCATACCCCCCTTTTAAACTGTTTAATAATCTGGAGGTATAACCTAATCACATGTCAGATGTTACAACTAAATATTGTTTTCCACTATACGTTAGCAATAGCAGCCATCTTGTCTTAACACTGGCACCATTTTGTCACATGAAACAAACTACAAAAACATATATTGTTTCCTACATCAAATGTATTTGTAAATCTAGGTTTTATTCTATCAAAACTTTTGTCTTCTATGTAGTCAAAATATATGTATGTGTAGGCTTTGCAAAATATAGTAATCCATTATCAGTCATGACATTAAAATCTCATTCTCATGAATTAAATCAAAGATTTTAAATCAACCTCAGAAGTAACAAGGAATATATCCATTGTTTTTTCCTTCTGTAAAATGATTGGAGTTACTGTATAATAGCATACACCCAATATAACATTGCATGTTCCTAACTGCTACATTAGTGTATTTCATTCTGCCATATTTGCAAACTTGATGTGTATTTTTATTTTAATTAATTAACCTAATACTTTCTTATAACACACATAAAACAATGAAAAAACAGTACAGACTAACAATTCATTTAAAACAACAAACTAACATAGAACTCTATTCTTGGCTGTTCTTAATTCTGGAATCAGCCTATGTACATCTGTTGGCACACATATCCAGGCTCATTCCCTAAACTGATCATATCTCTTGAAGTTATCTGATTCTTATAACTTTCTGTGTTACACTGCATTGCTTGTCTGTCTCCTAATTTTGATTTAGCTAAAATTGCTTTTATTTGTCTGATTATCAGTTTACAAGGAAAGGCCTTTATTGATTTATCTCCACATGTATTTTCTCTGTCAAAATTTTCAATCAACAAATTTAATTTCTCATTTGCTTTTGATTTGATATCTCTGATAAAATATCTGCAAGATCTTAAATAATGTTGTTTGTTGCACCAAAAACAAATAACTTTAGGAGTTATATTCTGTCTTTGATTAACTCTACACTCTGTCCTAGAAGAAGAAGAAGAAGGAGGGGGACGAGGGCTGTAAAATCTGCACTTCTTTCTCTGCCTAAATCCACAAGTCGTTTTAACCCCTTCATTATTGGTTTCTCTCCTTAAGTTATCCAAGAACAAAGCTACCTCTGTCAAAGTGCTTTTTTCTCTAGCTAACACAATTGCAGTTGGATCTAGATCTTGAAATTTTTTCACAAATTCATTAATTAACTGATCTTCAGAAAAATCAGCAACAAGTCTATATGCACTTTCAAATTTTGCAAGAAAACTAAATATATCCTCCCCCTTGTGTGGTTTTAGTTTTTCCAACATTTCAGTGTCTGCAAAATCATTCCCTGTTAATTTTATTAATTGTGTTAATCTGTCTTGCTTATTTCCATATATTATTTCATCATTGTCCTCGAATTTTACAGGCGTGGTCAGCCTACATGCCATTTGAGTCGGCAGCCATATTTGAAATAGTCTATTCCTTTGTTCGTCATTTAGGCTGTATTTGTCCAAATTTGACTCAAACATTTCAGCATTAGTGAATGCATCCACTGACGTGTCATAAACTGGAATACATTTCACAATTTTCATTAATTGTTCATGGATCTTCAAATTAAGTTTTGCAGTTCTGTCTTGAAATTTACATTTCTGCAAATCACTCTGTGAGGATACATTTTCAGTATCTATTGGTTCTGGGATTAGATTCTGTGCCTTTATTTTTCTTGTATTAACACACACTAGTTTAACTTCTTTTCTAAGCTGGCAACTAAAATCATTTCTTAGTTCAACTCTATCCTCTAATTCACAGACTTTTTCTGACAATGTTCTCTCTGTTACATTGTTACACTGTTAATTTAAATCTGATTTGTCTTCTGTTAACCCATTCAAATCTATTTCTTTTTCTGCTGATTCTAAATTGTCTTGACCTGCATTTCATTTACAAATCAATGCATTGTAAGTACAGACTAGTTTCATAACATTTCTGATCTTTTGTTTTTTCTTATTAACAAACAATTTCTTGTCAATTTTACTATTGGCAATTTCACATTGTGTGGATAAAGATTGCCACAATACAGCATCTGAATAGCTGCTATTAAATGCAAACTGCAATTTACTTTTCTCTGCAATATCATTTATGAATTCCATGTTACTCACCAGATCAGTTATCTCTGTCTATTTCGTTGCTTCATCCACACAGCTGCGCAGTTCTGGACGCTTGATTCTGGACGCGTGCCAATCTCTGCCACGTGCTTGCTTCTAGAATTCACGTTGTATCTTGTGCTTTTTGTCTCAGTTGTAGAAAATAGTCTTGTACAGTCTTTATGATTTGAAAACTCTATTTTTCTTACAAACCACAGTTCTTCTATGATTCAGTCTAGATTCTTTTTTTCTCTTCAAGTTTGTTTTCCCAGTTCCAAAATAGCTTTGTAACTCGATTCTTTTCTCTCCCCCCTTTAAGTGGGAACAAAACTTGAATAGAAGACTGGCTGGCTCGCCAATGTAAAAAACTAGATGAATGGATGTTCATGTAGACTCTTTCTTAATTTCTTCTTGTCTTCAGTTGATTGATATATATATATATACGTCTTTTGTACATATATTCTTGGGCCAAATGCTCGCCACAATAATATATGTCTATATTATTGAAAAGTAGTAATACGCAATCTGACTTACGGTTTCTTCAGGTTTATTCTTAGTTACGGATACATAAAACAACAAATGATGTTACAGGATAATGGACATTCAACAGCAGATGGTAATTGCTGGACTTCTGATGGGAGAGTTACATCGTTGTACAGAGCCAAGCCAAGAGTGAGACCGACCTCGTGTCCCTCTGTTACTATATAGATGTGCTAATACTAACGTCAGCATATAACTCTAGCCATATAAGGACAAGACCCCCGAATCCACATTCCAGAGCTCTCGGACAAAGAAAGCCTTGTGACTTATTGATACCATCTGTTACTTATGTCAATCCACACATCCATATATAATCAATAGAAACATAGAATATGCAATATTCTACAGAAACACACACCTTTTCTAATTTTTTTTATAATCAGAGAGTTGGAGATGCATGGAATAGCCTTCCAGATGAGGTAGTAGAGAGTCTTTGTGACTGATACAGGTTTAAAACAAATTGGTCTTAATCAATCAGTATCCTAAACAGGAAACTCCCTCAAAATAAAGTATAAAATGGGAAGAACTGACATATATGGGTCCACATCTAGAATTCTATGTGTCTATACTGGCCACGTTGGATCATGCTACTTCCTTGGAAAATACATTTCTCTCAGTTCATTTTCATGTCAGTGGTTTAGGGACCTGCACCTGTATACACCTCATTTCACTTTGAAATTTCTGGATTCCATTCTTCATAGCTTCCTTTACTGCCTTATTCTTAAAGCTATAAATGATTGGATTGAAAAGAGGGGTAAACATGGTGTATACGAGGGCAAGCATTTTGTCAGAGGCTGCTGGACGTGACCCTTTCGGGCTAGAATACACACTGCTTGCACAGCCATAAAAAAGTGTCACTACAATGAGGTGTGAGGAGCAGGTGGAGAAAGCCTTACTTCGACCCGTGTTGGACTTGATCTTGATAATGGCTACTATAATGCCTAAATACATGATTATGACAATTGCAAGGTTGGACAATGCTGTAAAGCCTCCAACAAAACCATTTACAGAAACAGTCAAGGGGATCTCTATGCAAGCCAGCCGTAAGAGTGGTGCTATATCACAGAAGAAGTGGTTTAGATGGTAAGGTCCACAGAAGGGCACTCTTGCAGTAAGTGTAATAGGAATACAAGCAGTCATAAATCCACAGAACCAACATACTGAAGCCAGACATCTACACATTTTTACACTCATTATGGTGGTGTACCTCAGAGGGTTACATATTGCCATACATCGGTCAAAGGCCATGGCAGCCAACAAGTTGCACTCTGTAATACCCAAACTATGGAATAAATACAGCTGAGCAAAGCACCACTGGAAGGAAATTCTAGTGTCGTGTGTCACCATAACAGTGAGAAGCTTAGGTACAGTGGTATAAATGTACCATATATCCAGTATGGACAGGATAGTGATGAAGAAATACATAGGAGTATGAAGCTGGGAGTTGTAACGTACAATCAAGATGATGAGCATGTTCCCAGTAAGAGTCAGAAGGTAGGTGGTAAGAAACAACAAAAACAGACACACCTGGTACTGGCCAAGATTGGAAAATCCTTCTAGTAAAAATTCGACACGGGTTTGATTCATTTCCCCCATGACATGTTGGGGTTGAACCAATGACAAGGAGAGTGTTATGAAATTACAAGTTCTGGTCTGAGAAGGTTGAGGCCTGTAAGCAGAAACATATAATAATTATTTTATAAATAACCACAGTCACGATAAACACACTGGGGGGGATGGGGAATTTACACTAGATTTAAAATTAGTTAGAAAACAAATGTGCAGTTAAAATTAGTTAATACATAACAATAATAAATACTGCTCTATTTAAATTGTGAAAGAAATATAATAAAAACATAGATTCTTCTTCAGTTCAGAAATAAGAAACATGGACAACCTTCCTTTATTGTCCACTTCCCATGTGTTTATAAAAAGGTCAGCCGATCACTTGCTCCTAACTTCACTTACAGCCAGTGCACAGTTAGCTGAGTAGGTAGCTTGTTGTGGTGATTATAGTGCCAGGCGCCTCCCCCATTTTCAGTAGTCAGCTGTTTTAGAATGTTTTGACTTCTTACCTGAGGTCTGTTGGGCATGGCTCCCCACCTCCACTACTGATGATAGAGAGTTGGAAGCTCCTAAGCAGGAACTTCCTTAGCTTTCCTGAGCTAAGCTCTGCAATGCAGGGACGTCTCGCTGACTGGTCACTTTCAGCCAATGAGCTAAGCCCTGCACTCCTTAGTTTACCTCAGATGGAGGTGGTGAGCAGAAGTCAACAGAATCCCATCACATCTTAGCCTGGAGACAATACATGCATGGGTCAATTTATAGAAAAAAATCCCAGGAAGTGAAATCGAACTCATTGTTAATTAGCTGCAGGAAAATAACTAATCTAACGCACTGTGAGGCCTTGATTTAATATTGCTGGATACATTTTAAAATATTTAATATTATATTGTTCTTTTAGTTGTAATTTTTGATATTGCGACAGCTGCTGAGCTGCACAATTTTAGCAGCCTGGTGAGTCTGATCTAGATCTTACCATCAGGTTTCCACTCATTATATTCCACTATGAATATTCCACTAGTCATATTGTAACTATTTTACCCCAAGAATGTATATCAGTGACCATCTATTCTATACAAACAAAAGTGACCCTGACAATTCTATAAAGTGCTCCAGTGACAAAAGTGCAATTTATATAACAATTTTATAAAATATACTTTAATACAAGTGTAGTGTGACAGACCACCCATGTCACTTATTAGACTTTTTCAGTTTGTTTTACCACTGATTGTTCGGTTACTGAATGAAGACCTGTTTTTCCCTTTGATACCACCTGAACCCAGACCACCACTTGGCTCATTAACTTCATATAACTCATTAACTTAAGTGCTGTGGCGAAACCAACCTCGCCACTGGGCATTGGAGAATCCTGGTTGCCCGCCTCCTGCCTGTTGACTATGGCCCATGGGAGATTTGGGCCTTTAACTACAGTATTTGGGCATATTGTATGTTATTATGCTGCTGCTGGCCCTTTAATGCCCAGAGAAAGGATTTCGTACCTTTAAACTGGCACTTCTGATGCAGTCGAAGTCGTCGAAGTCGTCGAAGTGTCGAAGTGGCCGCCATTCGAACACCCAATTGCACGAACACCGCTGACAAATACGTTCTACTCTACTTCGACACTGCGGCTGGAGACTAAGTCCCGTTCGAAGATTCGAATGTTTGTTCGAATGGGACTTAGTCATTTTCCCAGTGTAAAATAGACCGACCGCACAGCCCAAATCCATGGAACTATTTTGGGCATGAAAATGTGCCTGGGGTCGTTAAAAAGTGACTTATATGTAGCTCCTGAATGGCTGAACGGATTCAAATGATTTTTGGGTATGTTTGTATTTGGAATGTGCTGATTAATAATATGTGACTTTATTAATATTGGATGTATGGTTTTAGAGTTATAAAAGTTGGGTAAAAAGTGTGTTTTAAAATGTATAGATAATTGGGTTACCTCTCAGGCTAAGGGGAGGAGATGTGTGGGATGTAACCATTGTGTGATTGGGTAGTGTGTAATTGTCTGTGGGCATCTCCCTTGCAGGGGAGAATTGCATAAAAGCAGAATATGTATCATTAAAAGTCAGTTCTGCTTGACCTCAAAACGAAGTGTCGTCTCATTATTGGGGGAATTGGATTGTATGCTGATTGCCAGGAGTGTAAGCTGATTGTATGCTTTTCCTGTTCAGCTGCTTACATCTTTCATATGCTTGAGAGCATTCATATGCTTCTCCGGTTCGGTGGTTGTGGTGTCTGCTGCAGTGCAGCCAAATGCACAAATACATGTACATGCACACCTATACAAACATCCAAGCACAAGCACCAATACATATACCTACACATGTACAAATCCGCCTACACATACACAGACCCATATATACAGTTGTGCTCAGAAGTTTGCCTACCCTGGCAGAAATTGTGACATTTTGGCATTGATTTTAAAAATATGTATGATCATGCAAATAAAATGTCTTTCATTGAAGGATAGTGATCACATGAAGCCATTTATTATCAGATAGTTGTCTGGCTCCTTTTTAAATCATAATGATAACAGAAATCACCCAAATTGCCCTGATCAAAAGTTTACATACCATTAAATGTTTGGTCTTGTTACAGACACACAAGGTTACACACACAGGTTAAAATGGCAATTAAAGATTAATAACCCAAACCTGTGGCTTTTTAAATTGCAATTAGTGTCTGTGTATAAATAGTCAACGAGTTTGTTAGCTCTCAAGTGGATGCACTGAGCAGGCTAGATACTGAGCCATGGGTGCAGAAAAGAACTGTCAAAAATCGGCGTAACAAGGTAATGGAACTTTATAAAAATGGAAATGGATATAAAAAGATATCCAAAGCCTTGAAATGCCAACCAATACTATTCAATCACTTATTAAAAAGTGGAAAATGCAGGGATTTCTTGATACAAAGGCAAGATCAGCTACTGACAATGAGAACAAAAATCCCAGTGTCACCCCAAATTGTGGAGGAAGCACAAACGTATTGTAAGTGGACAAAAAAAACAACCTTAAACTTTATTCTCAATGATACAAAAAATAATGGTCCACTTAAAAAGAAAATATAAATTGTATTAAATAGGGGTATAAGAGGTGGGTGGTGTCCACCTCTGGACAGGTAGGGAGGAGGGTAATTACAAAGAGAGGTAGAAGGTATGCAACCTTAAACTAGACTCATCCAAACCACCCCTGTACACTGTGTCCCAAAACGCCAGAGAGGGAACCACGAGGTTGCCAAAGATAAAGGTACTGCAAATTCCCTATTAATAAAAATCTCTCGCTGTCCCTATATATACCTCGGCATCGCACAGAGCTAATGCCTACCTGAACCAGTAACCCTGAACACTCCAAACAAAATAGGTGCATAGTGCTACCCAAGTGCAAATTGACAATAAAAGAGCTCGATGCGCGTTTCAGCGTGCTAAGACTTCGTTGTCAGGAGCAGAGTGGCCATAGGTATCCTCTGAGTTGGTTTAAATACCCAGCCCTCAGTTAGCCATGTTTAAGGGATCCAATAATCAGACGTCCGACAAGCCAATCAGATGGCAGAGGTATGGCAAGGGAGTGTGGCAGCATGAAGGTATGCAGGAAGGTCCAATCTTCCTTTATTTGCTGAATACAATCCTCTGTTTGATTGTAATCCGAGTCTATGTTTGTCAGGGTGAGTGACTGATATTTTATTACATGTGTCGCAGTGGCACAAATCAATATTTGTTTTCATTTTGATTTTATCTTATACCCTGTCTTTTTTTACATCCTTTTTCTGTTTCACTAGTTCACTGTTTAGTTAAAAGTGCCCAACTCTTCCCCCTTAGGGCAGCACTTTTCCTGTACATTCCCTCTACAGCTGTTTATCATTATATTTTGTGGCTGCTGTCTCACTATGCATTTCCTGGTATGCTTAGGATTCTTAAAATGTACTATACATTTCCAGCCTTGGTGGGGGCTATTTCATGCCAGTTGAGATTCATATGAGCTAAGGCCCACTTGTTCACCACTTCCCACAGTATTCCACGTTCATTCCCATTCTTTCCACTCTATTTGGGCAGATAAACCCCTGTCCTAATCCTTTTTAAACACTGAATCCGCCCACAATTTCCGGCGCGACTGCGTAGATCACCTAGCATTGCACTGGGATGAATGCCAATTGATCTGCCTCCTACAGTGGCCACAACGGGGTGATTGTCCCTGTTGGTGTGTTTAACCATGTGGGAATACCGGTGGGCGGGTCATCAGTCACTACACATGCGCCGGGCTTCCAATGATGTCTGAGCGCATGTCATAACAGCGGGTATTCAAAAGTCCACCCATTGCCGCCTTTTGACAAGATCCTTTTTGGAGAGGTCAAAAATAAATCTTCAGCAGTTAGAAGATCTTTGGACGTATTAAATCAAGAGGTAAAATATAATACGATCTCTCACTAGGAAACCTACCTAAATAAATCTTTTTCATGACGAGATTGGTTAAAAAGCATTTGAGGCTTTAAGAAAAATGGTCCATTGTATAAACATCCAGGAAACATACCTTAAACTTATCCATAGATGGTATATGGTCCCTACGAAAATATGTAATTTCCAAGCCAACACCTCAAATATCTGCTGGCATTGTAATAGTGAACATGGTTCATTCAAAGATGTGTGGTGGGAATGTCTGGACACTCTTAAATTGGAAACATCTAAACTTTTTATTGATTTAAAAATAAATATTACGTTATCTCCAGAAAGATTTTTATTCCATTTAGATTTCCCAAAAATTGACAAATTCTCTCAATATTTGACTATACATATTTTGATGGCTGTCAAACTGTGCATTGCTAGAAAATGGAAACAGAATATATATTACATAGTTACATAGTTACATAGCTGAAAAGAGTCTTGCGTCCATCAAGTTCAGCCTACCTCACATTTGTTTTTTGCTGTTGATCCAAAAGAAGGCAAAAAAAAACAGTTTGAAGCACAATTTTGCAACAAGCTAGGAAAAAAATTCCTTCTTGACCCCAGAATGGCAGTGAGATTTATCCTTGGATCAAGCAGTTATTACCCTACATTGAGAGATTATATCCTTGAATATTCTGTTTTTGCAAGTATGCATCTAGTAGCTGTTTGAACATCTGTATGGACTCTGATAAAACCACATCCTGATCTGTTCTTACAGTAAAAAATCCTTTCCTTTGCCTTAGACGAAATCTTCTTTCTTCCAGTCTAAACGCATGGCCTCGTGTCCTATGTAAAGTCCGGTTTGTGAATAGATTTCCACACAATGGTTTGTATTGGCCCCGAATATATTTGTATAATGTTATCATATCCCCTCTCAGGTGACGTTTTTCTAAACTAAATAGGTTTAACCCCTTAAGGACCAAACTTCTGGAATAAAAGGGAATCATGACATGTCACACTTGTCATGTGTCCTTAAGGGGTTACATTTGTTAACCTTTCTTCATAACTGATGTGTTCCATTCCTTTTATTAATTTTGTAGCCCGCCTCTGCACTTTTTCTAGTGCCATAATATCTTTCATATCTCCCTCTATCATAGAGATCAAAACCCAGATTCACTATCAAGGTCTAATGGAAAAGGCGGTGTATGTTAAGGATAATAACATCAGCTTTTACAATAAGATTTGGGGAAAATGGTTTGACTATTATAAAGAATAAACTATTCACGCCTTATATAATTTAATAACCCTGGCACTGATGCTTTTGTAAGATAAATACAGATAATAATATTCCGAAAGTGGCTCTAGCTATGATTCATACTTTAAAGAAGCGATATTGACTTTGTCCTTTTCCCAGATCCCGATGGCCGACCCGATACCTTGTTTGCTTTGTTGTATGTCTTTTTATGTAGTTTTGTGTATATTGTAATGTAATATTTATATTTTGTGTTTATCGTCTGACACGACTATTTTTCTTTAATACTCGTTTAATCTGCAAAATTATAATAAAAGATGTATTTAATAATAAAAGTCCACCCATTGCTATATAGCACAGCTCTATCTAAAAGGAGTATCGTCCTTGAAGGGGCAGTAAAACTCATCAGAACAATTGGGTCAATAAATGGAGGTACATGAATGTGAATATAACTCTGTTGAGTCGGCATGCTCTATTTTCTTCCATTTAGTCATATTAGTTAGAGCTAAATGCTTTGCTTATAAGTAGTAAGCAGGGAAGTGGCTCCCTTGGGATCAACTGATTAATGCATAACTAGCAAGAACAAAGGGAAAGTACTCCTACATTCAGTATGAAGAGCACATTTCTGTGTGTGACTATCACTGGTGGAGGATAAGGTCACACTGTATTATATGAGCATCTATGTCATGCGTAAGGGAAGGATATATTAGATCCAAATAACACATTTCAAAAGACTTAGCAAAGGTGAGTGGATCCCACTTGCTATGATGGGAAAAGGTATAACAATTATAGGAGACAATGGTTGTCCCATAGATCTCATATAGAAAAAGGTGCATCCAGTGTACTTATTGTTTAATACAGGCATAGGTAAAAATCCAAATACGGTCTCTGGGGAACAAAAGAGCTATATTCAAAGCATACTCAATAGGGCAA